TCACTTGACGCAGAGTACTTCGAATAATAACCATTATCGCCCACAAATGACGCAAATGACGAACGTCCGTACAGTGTTTTCAAGTAATGATAATTAGTGGAGTGTCAAGAGATCTGATTTGTTGTTAGGCGATATTAGTTTCTCGGAGACGACGCTCGCGGAACACAATGGCGCACTGTGGAATTGTGTCGTTGGCTCGGTCGTTGATAATAATTACCAGGATAGCGGACGTTATTGAATGGAAATTTTGCGTAACTCGTGTAATCCGTATCCGGGCAATTAATTATTATACCGCGATAAGTCGCGATATTATTCTGTCCGTCCCTTGAGCAATACGCGGTCGGGCTGATTGCGCGCTAGCGTCATGTCATATATTATGCACGCATCATCGTGTTGCGTACATGCGCTTTCCAGCTGATTTCGGCGTATTTCCTCAATCGCTTAATGCACGTCCCGCATGATGATCATCATAACGATCAATGACAATGCGATGACGTCGATCTCTCCCTATATACTATCTTTCAAAGTTAGAGAGACGCGAAAAGTCGTTTAAAATAATCTATTGTAGATTATGCTGAATATTTTATTTAATCATGCATGGAGAGAATTTTCTCTTAAAATTTACCCTGAAATCATGGTAGTTGTGGGACAACATGTACCACCAAGAATTTTATGCGAGCTATTCTGATTAATATCCACCATAATAAAAAATATTAATATCTATTACATTAAAATATAAAATATGTTTGATTAATTTTACTAAAATATATCTAGAAAATTTCAATAATTTTTCAAAATTTACCAATCTGCTTGGTAATTTTTATCACGTTATTTGTAAAATGTCTTTTGTATATTTTAAAAATGCCTTGGTTACCAAGTTGTCCCAAGTTTGTAGTGAATTTAAGGGTAAAATATAACAAAAAATTCTCTCCGTGTGCATTAGGTTGTATACCGAACTATATCACAAACAAGTATATAATTGCAAATACAGAAGAAATTCTGAATGATCGACGCAATAGCAATATGTATAAACTTATAATTCTTATAAAATGACGTATAAGATAATTGGATATTTTCGTTGAGGTTAAACATTTTTATTCTTTCAAAAGAATTATAATCAATAAAAAGAGATTATAAAATTGAATAGTAATTTACAGTAGCATAAGTAGCGGAGAAAATCGAAAAACACCTGTAGACATCGAAATAACAAACTGTACATCATCACTGGTCTGTTTATTATAGCGCATCAGTTAAAACTCTGTCGCGTTCTTTCGCGAAATACCGGCGTTCCGGAAAACCTTTACTGATCGAGAATTTTTGGCCGTGGGGGTGCGATCGATCACGATCCGTATGACAGGCTCGATCGATCGATCGTTCGGTGAACGGCTCTCGGGAGCGCACGCAGTTAAGCGGTCTCTGTCTCTCTTACTCTTTCGCTCGACAAAAAGCCAGCTGCCGTGAACGTTAATTTCGGCACGCGCGCCGCGAGGCTTTTTAAGCGCCGTGATACAACGAAAAGCGCAACATGCAATGCAACTCAGCGCAACACCAAGCGCACATCCGAAGGATGCAGCTCGTTCTAAATATCGCGCACCTTGCGCTTGGTTAATTACGAGTTTATAGGGTACGCGCGCGTTCCCGTAATCCCTTTTTATGCGCGACTTTTGATGTACGTGGACACGTAACACAAATCTCGAGAACACGTATTCATTAACCGTCAATATCCTGCATTTTTAGAAGAAAAAATATTTGTACGAAAATTATTATAACAATAATCTTTATTTCGTCTATAGATTCTACGGTTTTTTATCAATGTACTCAATATTACATTATTATGATATCTCTTCTTTATTTCCTCCTCAGATGTATTACCATCCATAAGTTTTCTATGAATAATTATAAGTTTAGTTCAGACAAATATTTACGATATCCAATACGTATTTTCAATTTCCTTTTTTAAACGCTAGGATATTAAGAGCGTCAGACGGCGTATTGTCTGCTTACAACTCTAGATAAAAGTGGGTCGATAAAAATTGTAACAACAAACGCTAAAGATAAAAGTTGTCGTTGGAGAGGGGTCGCTTCCGAAGTATTAATCACGTAGGGAGATGGAAAGCGCCTTTAGAGAGACATTGCCGGAGCCGTTATCGCTCTAATCGAAAGACGTACAACCGCGAGGAAACATATACACGATCGTTACATACATATGCACCCGCTCGCGAACGCTCGTGCATTCTTAAGCAGCAAGTATCGAGGAAGGAGATGATAAAACCGCGTGGCGGCCTACAGGCGGCAATAAATGTTTCGAGGCTCGTAAAAATGTTATTACCTTCTGCGCGGCGCGATACCAGAAGACAGCGCGCGAAAGTAAAAGGGGGATGGCTGAGGTGATAGAGACACTCGGGCCAGAAACCTGCCGAATCCGTACAGTCGTACAACAGTGACGTAATAAATTGTGGACGAAAATAACTTGAAAAAAAATTCTACATTAATTATGGAGTTAGAGAATCTTTGTCCATAATTATTTCGGCACAGTTGCACATTTTTCTTCAATGAACAACTTCCTTTTTAAATATAGTGTTACCTTCAAATTATTCACAGTGCAAGTTGTATGACTGTAATTTGTTAGTTGTATATTTTCGGATATATTAAAGAGTAGGCACATTTACGCATTTAATTTTACATTGATTGAAGTAGCTGAAGAAAACTACACCTCATTGCAGGCTATAGCTACACGTGTGCACAACGAACTTGGATTGTGAATAATTTAAAAATAGAGCTGATATGCAAACCGACTTGTTCTGTGACTAGGAATCACATTTTCCAGTTAGCTCATTACTCCGAACTCGACATGCATGTAACGCAGCATATTGATCGGACTTGATACGTGAACTAGACTTTGATTCGCACGTGTGTAAGAGAAGTTGACTATCTTGTTTCGAAAAAGAGCTGAAATGAATGAATGCACACACCTTCCATGTAACTCGAGAAATGGCATTCTTCGTTGCGTGGGCAGTCTATTATCACCTTCGGAAGACAAATATATTGCTAGATGGAAGTGAAAGATCCAGGAAGTTTTACGTGTACAATATTAATAATGTAATATATAAATGCTATGTAGATCGCGCGTAAATATATTTTTGCTCAGAGTTTAATTTTTATTTTAAATATATCAGTGACGAATTATTAGTTATCAAATTGACACTAACACAGCTTTAACAACATTTTTTCTGGAATTATTTACAGAAAATATATTAAGAGATGAATTAAGAAAAAACACATATCTACACATAAAATTAATAAGCAAAATGATATTCTCAATTTAGTTGATTGTTATAAATCTGTTGCTTTTATAAAATGGAAAGGAAAAATTAAAAGGCCAATAAAAAAAGTTAGAAAATTATATTAATAAATTGGACAAAGATATCACAATGTAGAGAGCATTAATGAAATTCGCCTGCAAACAATAGGGAAATCGCCTGCGAGGCGCAAGATAACCGCGCGCACGCCTTTTTTATTCTAATACAATGCTCCCTCTTACGCATAGCAGCTTCGCTAATATCGCCGTATAATCTGTCGCCATTCCGAATAAATAACCTGCGGCGTGGCTAATAAAATTTCACCGCCTGCGAAATTTTGTCGGTCGTGTCGCCCTCGCGCGTCGCTTCTTCGCGCGACAGAAGATTCCCGGCGGATGCGTTTTTCACGGTGGCACGGGATACTGTCTATATAAAGACACATAGCCGAGCAGGGCAGGAGGCGGCACAGCGTGCACCGCGGCGCTTCATTTGTCTTTATATTAACGCTGCTGTGTAACGCCGTAACGGCGTTATGACGACAACACAACGGGTAGCGCCGGCGTCTACACTGCCGTGAAACAACTTTTTTACCCCTCTCAACGTTCTTTCGCTGCCCTTTTTTTCGCCTCTTTATATAAACCCGCTGCCGTTTTACGAGGGACGAAGGCAGCGCGAGAACTGCCCCTGATTCCAAATTATTACCCGTGCGAACGTCGCCGGGGGTTGCGTCTCCCGGCAAATTGCGTTTTCGCTGATACGGAAGATGCGCGATGATCGGGACCGAAAATAAAGTTAGGAAAGCGTATATTTATTTAAGTGTTTATTATGAAAAAAAAATCAACTTTGTTCTCAAATTGAATTGATCTTTTCGGCGAAAAAGAATAAACCGAAAGAAAATGTAATCATTAATTGTCTTCTGTCATTCTTTTAAATAAAATAACGAAACAATGTTATAAAAAATACTTGAGAGCTGTAAAAGTAAAACTAAAATTCCTTGCTAATGTATTATTGAAAGAGTAAATAAACTCGCGGTATATCTAAGAGCGATACGAGAAGCGATGTTACGTAAAATCTCGGACGGTCCCCCAAGCACATTAGCGCGATAATTGCGAGTCGAAGTTTCCTAGTGCATATTCGTGTTGCTCGCGGGCGAACTTTCTATAATAGACACGGGGGGCTGAGGCGGAAGGGATGCTGCCTTCTCGTCTCGATGCAGCACGGCGACGACGAGATACGTCGATATCTCGATGTAGATACATACCGACCTGCAGGTAACTTGCAGCAGCGCGGAGAATGAAGTTTTCTGCCGCGTTCTCGTATATATAAAGTAATACCGATACGAGGTCGGCTCCTTTTCTTCTGCTCGAGGGAGAGGGGGGAGGGCAGTATTGGATGGTCGTTCCCAGGAGGTTAATTCCGAGTCGAAGGGCGGAAAATATTCACGGTTCCTTAAAATCCGACGAGCTTGTCTCTTACGAGCTTCCTCTGGGGTGGCGTTACGCCGAACGGTCACTCAAAATACAAGGAACCCCTGTCGCCCATTTTCCACTTGCCCACGGCGATCGTCTCTTAATCCGCGCATGAACAAAGCCTTCTTGTTAAATAGAAGGCGTCGCTGACGACTCTTTTTAAACGTTATATGATATTTTTCCCCATAACCTAATAGTCTCTCTACAATGACGCATTTGTTTTTGATTGCAGTCCATTCGCTGCACGGTGAACGGCTGCTCCTGCGAATCCTTCACACCCGGGAAACGTCATCTGCGCTACTGCGAGAACTGTCATCATGGATGGGTGCCTCACGGTAAGTCCAAGCACATTTCGAAAAAATTATAGAGCGTTCTGCGATATTGGAATTCTCGCGTTTCCATCGGGCAAACCTTTGAAAAAAAATAGAGGGAAAAAGAACGAAAAAAATGAATTGCGGGAAGATTTTTCCCGAGGATATTCCGGCGCCCTGGTGTCGCGTGCGCGCGCGGTTAAACGCAAATTTTCCAACTGTCAGCATACTTCATCCGACGGGCCCTCAGGGACGAAATTCAATTTTCCAACGATGACCGCCGCCCAACCCTCGTTGGGCATCGCGACCGCGCGCCACCCCTTTGCACAATAGAAAGGAGCGCTCGCGTGTACGCACACGTATCGAATACGCACGTATTCGCCGATATAAGATGTCGGGATACTTTATGCCCTCATAAGTTCCTGAATTCGAGGAGGTGATCCAGGGGCCGGTCGGCCACTGTTTCGCACAGTTTCATCGTCTGGGGCTATCTCGACACCCGGATGGCGAACACCCGTACGCGCGCGCACGCATGTACGTACAGGCGCATACGTCAAACCGCGCTTAAAATTCCGCCTGCTTGACCCGCGATAGATTGGACGCGGCGCAACATGGAATACATATCAATTTCGGGCTTCTCCTTTTCCGCCCGATCCCGTGGGAACGCAGTTGCACGCGCGCGTTCTCTTTTTTCCACTCGGCTCTTGCCCGGCTTCGATTCTCCGTGTTACGTCGGAACAAAAGGTGTCGCAATCTCGCGCGCGCATTTCGTTGCGCAAAAAGGCGCACGTTGCGAGCGGCGTACGTGGTAATTATTCTCGCGGATTGCCGGGTTCGCGAATACTCGTCGAAGACGGATTTAGAGAGTGATTAACAAACGCTTTAAGGTATAAAACGCGAGCGTGGTGCGTAATCAACGAGATAATCGAGCACTCAGACACTTGTCGGCCGCTCGCCGATTAGCGTAGTTTCGCATACATTTTTGTAGCATGCGCTTTTAGCTTGTGCGTAACCAATTAGCCATTAAATCTGTTATTTTCACGTGGCATCGGAGAGATATGATGAATATCGAGAAAAGAGTAACGGATCTGTTGCTATTGTTGTTTCATATACTCGTTTTGAATGTATCGTATATCAATATATATTATGTAACTGTTGGCATTTTAAAACAGAAATTTTCGTAAACTTACTGCAATATCGAATATCATAACAAATGTCGAAAACAAATTCATTGTTCACGTAATTAATATCCACGTTTTTACTGTATCATTAGGAAAAATATCGGTTGCTCGATACACCGATAATCCTATGTCTCGTGTTCTTGCATTTCATAAATCAGCATTCTTGTATGTCATTCAAAATTATCGATATAAAAGAGAAGACCGTAATAGGCGGAAATCAGTTTCGAAAATGCGAACGTAGTCATTTCTGTTTCGATATGACTGGTACGAATTTAAATTAAAAATCTCGTGGCCTATCATTGCTCTTTGTTTTAAACCGGTTTCGCGGATGAGAGAAAACGGATTCGTCATTATCGATCCGTCAGTGATTAGGATAATAATCTATGCACGTTCGTAGCGGTGAAAGTTGATCGTGCGTAACGGCAAAATTATTATCGAGATAACGAACAGTATCAATTAGATTACGTGAATTGGATGTGACGCGTGCAAAAAGTCACATTCACATATGAGCATAGTGTTATTATTCTTTTTAATAGGTAATTGTTAGAAAATGTTTACAATAGAAATTATAAGTATCTTATATCTTAATTATTTAATATTGTTTAGCTTAATTTAAATATCTTAATTTAATACCTTAATTTAATTTGGCTCAAGTTCTCAACACCGCGTAACCGGTTTTAATTTATGTTTTTGATTTTATGTTGAGGACTTAACACGTGTCGAACGAACTAAGTAGAGCATTGTTAACTGCCACTGAAGGTACGATGATGCGCGAGGGCCACGAGACTGTGAACGAAATCACGAGTAGTGCACTGACAAAGGCCTTTTTAAATTGTAATGAGCTGCCAAAGAGTGAATTATGTGCCGTCCAAGTGCCATCGAGTCCTCGGCGAACCCCATCCTATAAAACCCCGCCATGCACGCGTATATATCCTGGCATCCCTGTGGCCGCTCGGCCACCCCACGTCATGAATATATTTACATTGATCGGCCGTCTCGGCATTTTTCATTTGGCTCGTCGTTGTGTTCGGACGGGCCGAAGTGTGTCCATCCCTTCGATACTTTATTTATATCGACGGGATGGGACGTGTCTGTCTTTTCTCCATGCAGTTTTCATCGCACGGGAACTCGCGTATGAGCGATGAATCCGGCCCGACGCTAATGATCCTTTCGTCCTTGTCCGGAAATCCCTGGAGTTTAACAAGATGGCTTCCTGGGCCGCCCGTGCTCGCGAGATGCGTATCGCATACATGAACCGTCTAGGAGAGAGAAAGAGAGAGTTTGCTTTGAATGTCATATTTATAAAGCGTATCTTGCAAAGCTTGTACTTGATGAATTCTGACTGTAACCGCCTCAAATTTCGAATAAGAAGACGATATCGTTTGATGTTCATAAATCGTTTTCTATATTCTCGCGTCTCTCGCCAGATAATTTATCAGATCATTTTAAGCATACATTTTTACTTTGCGTAATATTAATATTTTTCCCGTCTCTCGTTTTGTACCTCAGACATCGTCGTATCTATCTCAGATAGCCTACCCTAATACGATAAAGCGCACGCGCCATCAGCATCGGGAACGATCGAGGAGTAACCTTGCGAGACCATTACACGCGGATTAACTTAAGCCGCGTTTTACGTACGTACGATATCCACGGCGGGCGGCTGGTCGCGCTGAAATAAAAATCACGGAAAGTAGATGCGCGCCTAATGAAGGGTTAGAATGGACGGCGGGGTACAGTTACGCGATTAAAGCCTCGATGTCGAGTATATAGCGACCTTCTTTCCGCCGCGGCGTAACCTCGGCGATAAGAGGATACGCGTACTCTAAATTCCATCCGCCCTTCCTGGTAATACACCGGGAGGAGCAATTTAGCGTACGGCTTGGCGCTCGACGAGAGGCAGAATTTTCCGAAGTTCGCCTTCAATACTTTACGTGCCTGCGCGAACCGGTCATCTACGCTCCAAGCAACCCTCGGCCGTCCACAATCTAGTCCAATTAAATGTTTTTCACCGCGCTTCATCGTCTGTCCAGTATTCGGTTTATTCGACGTCTTTTTATCGTGCCAGGCGTACACATCGCGGCACCTGACTCATAAAGCCATCGATTACACTCTGTCGATAATGAGTAGTATCCTTTATTACTCGGCTCGATGTATCCACGCGAGGCTCATTTCAACCTAAGAACTGCCGTGATCAGTCGGCCGAGCACATTGACAGAAGCGATTAGTATCACGCATCACGATAAAGTGTTGTTAAAAGAAAACAACACTTGCTTGTCTCCGTTGATTAATCCTCGATTACTCAATCTTAGATTGATACTTTCTCACACTACGGTCGATCATCCAGGCACGATCGTAACATTATTATTAATTGTTTGCTATTTATTCATTTTAGATATTTGTCTTGTTAACTATTGTCGTTTTCGCCTCTTGGAGATACTGTGGTAATAGTTAGTTTTAAGGTCTATCCTAAACCCCCCTCCCCCCTTCCCGACCAGAGATTAGCTTCCGTAAAATCGTACATCCGATTTTACGATTCGCCTAACGGGAAGAGGAGGAAGACGTCTCTCGACAACAAGAAGACGAACTATGCAGTTACGAACGGTGACAGGGTTGAAATGTAACATCTGCGCCTCCATCTGCACTTCTCACCGATCGGCAGCTGGCGGAAGATGAAGGAGGGAAAAGGGCCCCGCGGGGCCCCGAGGAAGACGTCGAACTTTGGCCCGCAAAAGGGCTACGCACGTCTCGGCGCGTGCACGATAAATCATTAAAAGGCGTAGCCCGGAGTGACGCCGCGCCGCCGTTAATAAACGCACCACCAAACTGTGAATTACGGCGGCCGTGAACGAGCGGGGGTTGCACGCGCCCCCCTGTCGCGGTCTTTGTTTCGCGTCAGCCTGTGATCAAGTTCCGCCAGGCAATGAGGGATGATTTACCTTCCATTCCGCGAAACACGCATTCGCAATTATTTATCTGAACGCTTATTACAGATCTCGATTATGATGTTTAGCATAACTGCATTAACTTTTAAGATCTATATTTTTATTACGAAAACATCTAAAGGTAAGAGCATTTAAAAGTCTTTTCTGATTATAATGTTCAGTTTTTTAAACTTGCAATAGTCATATTATAATTTATAGCTACGAAATAACTGAAAACAACAATTTTTGTCTTTAAGATTTTTTACATTTTACACTTAATATATGCTTTATGAATTTTGTAATTAACTTTGTAACGTTTGCGAAGATTTACTTTGATTGTGCAGATGTCAGTATTTTAACACAGAAATAGTTAACAGAATTCTACAATTAAATGCAATATCCTATATTTGTTTATACGATAGTCTCGTTTCTCTACATTTAACTAACAGAATAGAATTGTTTTTGTAAGGTATATATGTCAATTAATATGAGTCAGGTTACCATCGTCTTAAACACGACGATCGTAATGCGAATATATTTCATTACCACTGTTATATGATTCCATCGCGTAGTGCGAACGGGAACAAAGTTTAGAAGACTTCATCGTGGGGTGCTGCATTATGTCCTATCAAAAACACCGAGACGCGTCGTGCCTTTTAAAGCTTAAAAACACGGGCGTATTTGTTCTAATACGAAACCGATGCTAATGGTAATACATCATAGCCTGGGTCTCCGGCCACCCTATTCCATCCTTCCTCCCCTGCCACCTAGAAAACGTCACCATGAATCACAGCCGAGATGCTAATGTACCAATTTATCTCGTCCCAACTTTATTAAGACTTACTTTTTCTCGGCGCGAAGGGAACGAAAGACCACGGCCGTCCACGCCGCTCTCGCTCGTCTCGCCGGGACTTCAATT